GTAAGAGAAGGCAGGAATACATTCCTTGCCTAAGACAGGTCTTCCAACCTGCCTGCTCCAGGGGCAGGATGCACTGAGTCTCGGGGTTCCTAAGCTGGGAGACCCTGAGAGATCACATCCAAGCCTGTCCTGCCACTTACACAGCATCACTCTCCCTGAGGGTAACCATGGCAGGGTTCTGGCTAATGGCTCCTCTAGGGACATCTGTCCTTCTTACTTTCTTCCTCAACTTCTTCTAGAGGAAAACAGCTGCTATATATGTGAAAGTCTTCCTCACAGATATCTGCATGGTCCTCTGGCCCAACTTCCTACAGCACCATCGCCAGCTTCACAGACAGGTACCTAACAAAGGTTCTTACCATTGCTTTAGTTAGCAAGCAGGAATAGGGGAACACCAGGCCCTAACACCCTCCTCCTCCACCTGCTACTGTCACACCTGTCCTTCCAGAGCTGTTCAAAGAAGCCTGCCTTAGGTCTCACAGCAGAGCAGGTTTCCTCCCACAGCACACAGCACATAGCACTCTCACAGGCATGCTGGAATGAGTACATTCATTTCTGTGTCCTCCCCAAGATGAAACTGGTGAGTCTTTATCCTAGCTCTTAGGCCACTGCTTGGTGAACTACAGATTCTCAAAGCAAAGAAATAACAAATTAAGAACTGTTCTCTGGTCATCAAGGTTTCTACACTGCAGATACTTGCATACTAATCTGCCCATCTCAGGTTTTAAAATATGGACTTTTTTTTAACTTCCAGCATAATGAATCAGCTTAAATATTAGAAGTTGAAATTATTAAGTAAATCATTTCACCTGCAAAGATTCTATTTGCATAATATTAATTCATGATGGCAGCTAAAACAAATTCATCACATTCTGCATATTAGAAGCTGATTTATGTAGGAATTGAAAAAAATCAGGAGCTCAAAATTATGTTGACGTGATGTACGGGCTTAGTGAAAAAAGGTTTTTCTTCCATCTTCCTTTTTTTCTTTTTTTTTTTTTTTAAGTCATCTGAACAGCTGAATTATGGTGAGAAGTAAAAGGATTTGAGGAGAGGAAGATCTGGCATCTCAGAAATGAATGATGCTGCCGCCTCGCGTGTGTGGCGGGCTCTAGTCGGGTACACACACTCTTCAGTTATTAATGTCAAGTATGCCAAAGATACGCTGGAAAATCATTACCATTCATCGCCACTAACCGCCATTAAATTTCAATCAATTCAACTTAGCACAAGTGTACTTGAGCGGCCCTTACAGTTCCTTATAAATGTGGCTCCAAAGTCGCGCTGAGTATTGTATTGTCCACAGCACAAAGAAGCGCGCTAAGCATGGGCTCAAAGGAAACTGTCTTAGACCCTGGGACGATATCTTTTAAAGCATTCTTTCCTAAGCATGCAAAGATCATTTTCTGAGCCCCAAGAGGTCTCAAATCCCTACCGATCGAGATGAATGGAGGGGGAGAATCATCCTTCCTCCCCTGTCCTGAGGGGGTGGGGCACAGAAGGCCTTCCTGGCTACAGTCCACAGAGGCCTCACAGAAAGTTTCAGACGCCTCTGCGGCCCAAAGTTTGGTAACTTGGAACCTCCGTTTCTCTCTTTGCTAAAGGCTCCCAATGCTCTGCAAACTATCAGCTGAACTGGAACCCCGATCCGGGCAGCATGTGGAAGGCGAGCCATCAGGACTCAGGACGGCAGTGGCGCTCTGGGCACTCCTGGGAACCGCACCTCTTCCAGGTGGAGCCGGCTCCTGAGGAGCGATCGCCCGGGCCTAGGGGGATCTGGCCTGCTGGCCTTCTTTCCGACTCGCCACGAGCGGGGTCCAGCCTCCTGCCACCCGCTGCAACAGTGTGGCCATTGTTGCGATGCTGCAAACCCGGCAGGCGCAGGTGGGAGGGACACAGCCGGCTGCCCGCAGGCGCTCGGGGCACGGAATGTCCCCCGCGTGCGTGCGCGTGCGCTGCTACCACTAGCCAGCGATTCCCCGGACTCCCCGGGCAGGGCACGCAGGAGATGGGAGTGGGAGGAAGAGAAGGAGGGGTGACAAAGGAGAGGCAAGAAGAGACAAAGAAAAGCAGGAAGACAGGGAGCTGAAAAAAAGGGACTGGGCAAAGAAAAAGGAGAGAGAGGAAGAGGAAGGGTGGGGGAGAAGGCAAAGAAAAGAGACACCTTGACAGAGAAGGGATGCTGGGAGGAGTGACAGAGAAAGAAGAAAAGAAGGCCGCTGAGCTGAGCGAGAGTGGGGGAGACAGAGGGCAGACTAGAGGAGCGCAGGCCAAGCTGTGCAGGAAGCTGCAGCCGAGAGCAAGAGTTCACCAGCCTCATGGAGGGAACCAGCCCGGACCGCGAGTCAGCAGGAGTAATCACGCTAGGGGTTTTGCTTAATTACAGGCTCCAGAGCTTGGGTCTGGAGGAGGGAGACACTTAGCTGTGTCCCCGGCCAGGCTGGGCACTGGAATGGTTTGTAAGCCTGGGAGATATAAACACCCAACCTCCACCGACCACAAGCCACAAGCCAGGAACCAGGACCCTGGAGGACAGGCTGGGGGCTGCAGCAGACCAGCTGGACACCGGCTCTCCAGGAGCAGCTTTCTGTGTTCCCTTGGGACTGGAATCCCATGCTTGTCCCTCCCTCCAGGAGGCCACAGGCCTGGGGAGGCCCTGACTAGGCCTGCAGCAGGGCTACCTTCTCTCCTCCAGGCCCTGGAGGGCTGGGGCCCTGGCTACACGAAAGGGGGAAATCAATCCCAATCCTGTGCTAATGAATAAAAAGTCTGCTTTACTTCACTGCTGTTTTTGGTTCATTAAATTTTCCACAGATTTGCAGAGAAGAAAACATAATCAATAAACTCTGACGAAAGTGAATGTGTGAAAAAGACCAGAGAATGGAAAAGCAAGATAAAAGTGATATCGGATCACAGATTTCTGAGGCAGATGACAGAGCTGGAGTTTGGGCTGCTGAAGAATTTCAATGGGCCATCGCCCCTCTACTCCAGCCTTCCATTTGCTGCAACTTCTCATTCAAGACAATAGTAAAAGCACTAAAACTTTTTCTTATGCTAATGGCTGAAACCCAGCACTCAGTTAAAACACACTTCCCAGAGACCTACTTTTTTTTTTTTAAACAACACACATGTGCACACACACAAAACCAAAGTAACTTGTTCCATTTAAATTTAAATCTCAAAGAAACAGTTTAATATGTACTCTTTGGTCACATCTTAAAGTTATTTTCCCCCATTTGAATGTTTTTTAAGAAACTAGAAACAAAGCATAAACCAGAATATTAGGGATTCTTTCACTGATGAAAGAATTAAGGGGAAAATAATATATTCAACATAAGGAAAGTATGCTGTCTTCACCTGTGTGTTTTTCTAAGTTTTTAAATGTAGTTGTGTAGATTAATATCATTTTGTCACTATCAAAATCTAAAAACAATGGCCAAAGATACACTTTTGAAAAGCTTTGAAAATCTTAAAATATTCCACAGCAAACGCTCAGATTAATTTTGGAGAAAATGATTGACTGAAACTGGTGTTATGTGTTTCTCTGAAAACCACAAACGCCTCGAAGGTGTTACTCTACCAGAGGGCACTAGCAATGTCACTGTCCATGACCCTTTTCTCGACCTGCTCTTAAACAAGCGAGCAGCTTGCCCTCACCCAGTTCTTTGGAACTGAGAGAGCCTCCCACACCGAAACTGCTGGGCATTCTGGTTGTCGGTACAATCACCTTTTTTGCCTCTCCAATTTTTCTGGAATCTGAGAACACTGTTTCTCTCTTTGGAATTCTTTACATGTTTCATTTGTCCCTGCCTCTGACACTTACTGAAAAGAAGAAAGCAGGCAACTGCTTCCCCAGGGTTCCTTTTCAAAGGGCCCTGGTCCAGCAGGCACAGCTGCAGCTGTCCACAACAAGGTCCACCTGGCCAGGCCTTCCCTTGTCCCGCAAGCACCAGGAAACAGGCTCTGGCACAGGTAGACACCCCCTCCCCCAAGCCCAAAGTAGCTAGGCTGTTCATACTGCCTCCCCCAGAGGCCAGGCACAAGAAAGGAAGCTGGCTGAACTCACATTCCTGGACCCGCCAGCTGCCCAGCCCAGACACACAAGGATGCAGAACTCTGGTTTTGAGTTTTAACAAGCCAGCTGGGTGTGAGGGGGTCACACCAGCTTTCAAAGTGCACACGACAACCTCCTGGTCTCATTTAAAGGGAACGGCTGGCATCTGTGCACTGAAACTTTCCCCTGGGGTAGTCAAAGGGGGCCCTGATGCAAGAAGAGTGTTTATAGGCAAATATCCAATTTTGTCTGTCTGCCTGCTGAATCCCCCGGTTGCTAATCCAGCCCCAGGGGCTGCACTGTGTACAGGGCACTTGTGGGAGTACAAAAAGCGTGAAGTATTTGTGTATTTTTCAGTCTGCAGTGCAAACAAGCGCACTCTAGTACACAGACCCTGAGACCCCCGCAGCTAGAGCTGCTGACCGGCAGCTAGCGGCCCCCTCTTCTGACCAGGCAACTCCAAGAATTTCCTCTCTGTTCAGTGTTCTCCAGAGTGGGCTGGAGCATCCTGAGAGTAGAGAGGGCTCAGTTTCAAACTGGGCTGAGTCAAATCAGAGGCCTTGACTGGGGCCACTGGAGTTTGGCAGCTGTCAGGAGGTCCCAGATCAAGGAGTCTGAACCCTGTGCAAATTTAAGCCACATATCAGCTCCCACAGAGAATAAAAATGACCCTCACAATTCTACGGTGCAGCTCAGCAAGTCCTGCGCTGGCTTGGAAGGGGTTTTCCCCCTCTTCCTTGGTCTCACCAGCTGATTCTGCAAACAACTCACTCTAAGCAGTGTCGGGTGCAAGGCTGGTTAACTGAAGGCTACAGCCAGGGCAGGTGGGCTCCTCTAAATGCCCCTTGTTCCCAAGCATTAGTTTAAATCCCACTGGAATCAGAAACAACCTAGGAAATTGGCACAGTTGTCAAAGCAAAGAGGAAACACAAAACCACCCTAAATCTTACAAAATATAATTAAAACTCATTGGACAAGTGACAACTTTCCATACAGCTGGCTCTGAGGTGAATGCATACGCTGAAGTTGCCACAAATCCTGGAATCCTCAAGAGAACAAGCAAGCCTAGGAAATCGAAAGCAAGAAAGATAAAGAGGAGCAGAAGCAGGAAGGCCCTTTGGGGAGCATCTGTGCCTAGATTCAACATTCTGAAATCACTGCCCCTGGACAGACCAGAAGCTGGAAAAAGGCTAAGAAGTATCAAAACTCAAACCAATCAGGCATGGCCAGGGGTCCCTTCCCTTCCCTGGGAGGATCAACCCAGGCAGGTACAGTTAATTTCCCCCAGGATGAGTAGCTGCCGAGCTGCACCCAGGCCCAGGGAAGGCCTGCCCCAAACACATGGAAGCCAGAGCAAAGGAAACTCCCAACCAAGGTAAGGAAGTGGGCGAGGAGGGGGCTTTTAGGGGAGGTGTCTAGAACAAACAGATCTCATCAGGGAGACTCTGACAAGCCCGCCTATTCCGTTCCTATCCCCCCCCCCTGCCCCGCTGTATATTTTGGATTTCACAGTTTATTTACTTTACTTTTTGGCACCGCGCCCCCTGAGCATGCCAATACAATATTTGTTTAAACACTATTTTATGCCGCTTGCGAGGGAAACGTTTACTTTCAAATTCTCCAACATCCCCTAGAGCCTCGTCTGCAAACAGCATATGAGCGTTTTACAACTGCTCCCTTTATCTGAAGCTGTTGGGATTAAACCTTCACACGCCCGCCAAGGGCGACGGGGCAGGGGCCCAGGACAACTCCGTGGCCACCGCGCAGCAAAACCCGCGCTACAGGCTTGGCACTGAGAGGGATCCTCCGGTGCAGGGTCAGAGGAGCACGGAAAACACCTCCAAGGCGCAGAACTTGACTCGAGGAGAGAAGTCTATATTTTCCCAACTGGATTCAACTCTGGGAGTCACGAAGCAATTACCACAAAAAGTGGGTAACGGGGAGACGCACCTGGTGGGGGCAGAGGACCCCAGGCCCCTGCGCACCTTAGTGCCCACTCCTGCGCCTTAGATCGCCCAGTCACGCCGGGTGAGACGCGCGGGTTGCATCCCTAGCTCTAGCGCTACAAAAGTCGGGTTTCCTAGGAAATGACAGCAATTGCTGCCGGGCTGAAAAGGCGCCGAGTTAGGTGGACTTCCAGCTACCCTGGGCGGCGGGAGCGCTCACACTCACAAACGCACGCACACGCTCCCTTCCCCCACCTCGCCCTACACCCCCCCACCCCGCCCCCGTCGGGGGGGGAAAACGCTCCCCTCTCCAAACCCTTAATAGGATTGGCGCCCAACTCTCTCCGCGCCTCTCCCCATCCATCACACACAGATCAAGTTGCAGTAGGGGATTTTTCAAATTCCTCAGCAAATATACTTGTTGAGAGATTGTCCCTGGGGGGCTAGGAGGAAAACGATGAGTGGGGGGCGGGGATGAAAATGAGGGGTGGGGGAACTGGTACTCGGACGAGGATTGCGCGCGGATCTCTTTGGGAAGTCAATCAGATTTCGGGACCGAGGGCAGGAGAGAAGGAGAAAAAGGGCCAGAAACGAAGCCAAAGAGAAGAGCCCTGCCGAGGGGGAGGGGGCGGCAAAGCCAGACGAAGGGGAGGAAGGAGCTAGAAAGAAAGAAAGACTGGGCTCCGGAACGCGCAGCGCGGAGAAGTGAGTCAGAAGTTCACATGCGGCCGGCAGCTGCCCCTCCGCACACAGCACACTCCCGCAGACGTTACAACTGTCTCCCTACGGGAAGCTTCCAAGCATCCTCGCCTCCGATCTCACCCTCCACCACCACCCTCCGCAAAACCACCTCCCCTCCCCCCGCCGCCCCAGCGCGGTGCGACCTGGCTGCCCCGCAGTGCACCCCAAGAAAAATGCTTTTCCCCCAGGTAGAGACGGAAGTGCGAAGTCGATCCCCGGCCACGAGTTCCCAGCTCCTAGATCCTTCTTAGATCCTCTCCTTGCAGAGCCAGAAGTGGGGTCGCCCCACTAGCCTCTAGTCCTCCTAAGGCGGGGTCAGGATCACGCGCCGTGGCGCTGGTACCCGGCCGAAGGACCCTCTGGAGACGGCGCAGCATCCCAGTTGACCAAAGGCTCGGCTGAGACACAAGAGCATTTCGCAGCAACAAGCAAGCAAAAGAAAGCCAATGCAACTTTACCGAGGAGACAAAAGTTTGCTTCTAGCACGCAGGTGGCCTCTTGGGCGCCGGGCAGTGGTTGCAGGCCCCCATTCCAACTTGGCTGGCGCGGCGACCCTCAGCGGGCGGCCGTGCGCGGAGGCTCAGGCAGGCCGGGGTGGGGCTGGCGGGCGGGCAGGGGAAGGGACCCACGCGGCGGGGGCCGTACAGCCCTACCGCCGGCTAGCGGGCAGCTCCCGGAGGCTCCGGCGTGCGGCGCGGCCCGCGCTCCTTTCCCCGGCTCCTCCCGTGCCTCCTAGCCTTCCTACGCGTCCGCTGCCGCCGCCTCCCGCTCCTCCTAGAAGTCTCATTGATGGGAGTTTGAAAAAAAAAGTCCGCGGAGCGGTGCTGCCTCGGCTGGCGAGCGCCGGCAGTCCTGCAATCCGTCGGCGCCGCGGGACGGCACAGCGCCCCCGCGCGCTCGGTTTTGGCACACCCGGGCGCACCCGGACTGGAGAGATGGGGGGTACTCGGACGCCACCCGAAGGAGAGTAGGTAAAAAGGGCGGCGGAGGATTCTCTTCTTCCCCGACAGGAAAGTTCGAGCATTGAACAGAATTCGCGAGTCTGCAACACTTTTTTCAAGGCGCCGGGCCGGGGGGGGGGGGGGGGGGTTGAGGGGTGTCGCTAACTCAAGTCAGATGAGCTCCGGAGCTCCAGCGCTCGCACTGCTCTGTTTTCAATCTCTGAAATCCCCCCGCCCTCCCCACTCTTCTTTCCCTCCGCCTGGAGATGCCCGGGTCGCTGTTCCAGGGCGCTTGCTTCTCCGGGCGCCGGGGCGGAAGCCGGGATCCCGAAACAAGGGAGGCGGGGACTGAGTCTACGCGGACCCTCTTCCTGCTGGCGGGGGACGCAGGTGCTGGGGGTCGTGCTGCGCCCCTCACCGCGGCTCGCGCAAGTTGCCTGCGGAGCGCATGTTGACGAGAAACGAAGCAGCCTTTTGGGTCTGGGGCATATGTTTTCTAGGGAGAGGTTTTTTGTTTTGTTGTTTTGTTTTGTTTTGTTTTGTTGGAGATTCCACTGGAGCGGCTGCAACCAGATGGAAGTAATCAGAACCCAACAACGGGGGGGGCGGGGGGGAATGCAAAACCCTGGCAGAATTTTCGGGCCAAAGTGTGCTGAGCGAACCGAAGGAGTCCTGGGACCTCCAACCACCCCTAGCCCAGAGCTGGCCGTTCGATTTAGAGAAGCAAGAGGGCGACTGGCTAGAGGGCCCTCCAAAGCTCCGGATCCACCCCAAGAGTCCCTCTTGAGGGACTTTTTAATACTTCTGTGTAACATTTGCGGGACACTTTAAGCCAGGTGACAAAGTTCTAATTTCCTCTGTGTTGTTTAACCTTGATGCCTCTGTGAAGTAGGATCTCTGTGCCCCCTGTACAATTGAGAAAATTGAGGCTTTAGGAATTGGAGGAACTTGTTCAAGGTCAGAACCCCGGGCCGCCACCCCGCTCCACCGCTGCCCGCTCCACGGGTTTCAGTCTTCCTCCTTGGTTTGGAATGAAAGGGCCCTGTTGAGGAGGGTCAGATGTGTCCCTTGGGCCCCTCTTAAAGCTGCCTGTTGTCTGGAATGCAGATTCCAGACCCAATTCCACCCTCCCCATATGGCTGGGAGCTGCACAGGCCCATTTTCCCCTTTTGTCCATAATTCTCCCCTTTACCTTTGACTCTCCTAACTTTAATATTTAGCTCTGGGGATCAAACCTTGAGCCCTGCATGCCGAGCGAGCACACAATATACCACACTGAGTTACGCTCCCAGCCCCATCCCTTTTATTTTTCTGCTCTGGGAATTGAATCGAAGGCCTCCTGCATGCCAGGGAAGTGCTCCACTTCTGAGCTACACCTCCACTCTTATTTTTCACTTTTTATCCAAAGGGAGAAGCATTTTGACGCTGTTCCCCATTGTTTATTACCGTCCTCCCTTCCCCCTGGCATTCATTTATGTGAAAGGAGCAACAATTTCTTCTTGAGCCAGAGGAGGAAAAAGGGCAGAAATATATTAGAACAAGCTGATGCTAATTTTGTTTTCCTCACGTAGGCTCTCCAGATGGAGAAAAAAATTCCAAGCAGGCAGTGTTTTTAAAAAGCAAAACTTGCAGAAGCCAATGCATTAAAAGAGAAGTCTGAAAGGGGCTTTTTCTTTAAATATGATCGGATTCACCATTCCTCAATGCTATTTGTTTAAAGTCCTGCTGAGCTTTCAGAACACAGACTGGAAGGAGACAGAAAAAGTAAACCCTCCTCTCTCCTTGGCCGTATTTTAATGACCCTATTCATATCTACTCCATGAAACTCAGGAATCATTTCTCATTGCTGGGATATTAGCAGCGTCAGTTGATTACTTCATTATGACCTTGTCTCTGTTGGTTTCCTTGTGTTGTAAAGTTTGTGAAGATATTTAAACAAATCAACATTTGGGGTTTTTTACTTTTTTTTTTTTTTCTCAGACCAACTCAACTCCTGCTGGAATCCAGACACTCACAGAACCTTTCCTGGCTTATTTTGGCAAGAAGATGACTGTGGAGAAGAAGATGGAATGTTTTCCGGGTAGGAGAGTTATGTGAGCACTGTGCCTTACTCTCTAGATGGCCAGAAACTCGGGCATGAGAACAGCAAGAGGAAGTGTGGAATGGAAGCCCACTGGGGTGGCAGAGGGAGCCTTGGGGGACCCTGGGCAGCAAGTCGTTTGCCGAGGTCTGGTGCTTGGTGCATGCCCTTGGGCAAACCCAGTTCATTCAGTCAGCCTCTTGCTGTGTGCCAGGCCTTGTGCTAAGTGGCGGCAGCACTGGGAGGAACACCCACGAGAGCCTTCCCCACATGGAACCCGCTTCGTAACACAGACACGCTCACAAACTGGATAAAGACAGAGGTTCTGGAAATCCACAGTTAGGAACCTCAGCGCAGGACCAGAGCAGTCTTTCCTGGAACAGTAAAGAAGCAATGAGGAAAGGTGAGGGTGAGGAAAAGGAGAGGACGAAGTGCTATTCTGCTTCTTCCCTCTCTCTTTCAATAAGATGGATTTGAGTGATGAGACAGTTCAGTCCCAAAAGGAAGCCGCTTCTCCGTTATTTCAGTGATCTAGTAATGGTCACCCTGCGCGTACTGACAGGGAAACTCAACTGGCATTAGACAACTGCTTCGTTGTGTGGCCACCATAGAATGCAGAGTGTACTTAAACAAACCTAGCCATTCTAGGTTAATTGGTTGGCATGACTTCTTGGTGCAATCAAGACATGCAACTAATATGAGATGTCTGTGGCTGTTACTAGAATAACCAGCATATTTTACAGTAAAAAAATTTTATAAGTAGATGAATTACTGTGCTCTAAAACAGCAGTGGCAAATCTATGGCACACAGACCACAACAGCTATTATCCTTGAAAACTAGAATGTTTGCCACAACTGCTCTAGACTAACAATAAAAGCACAATACTGTAAATATGTAAACCAAAACCAGTCATTTATTACCATGAGTTATGTATTATATATAATAGTGTGTGCTACACTTTTATGACTGGCAGTATGATAGGCTTATTTTCACCAAAAGCACCACACACTGAGTATTGTAGACATTTCTACCGCTGCATACAACATCATTAGGAATAGAAATCTTTCTGCTTTATTGTAATTTTATGGACCCACCATCAGTCTCTTATTGACCAAAATGTTATGCAGTACATAGCTGTGCTAAGAAATAAATCACCCCCAAACTCAGTGGGATAAAACAACCATTAATCATGCACATGGATTCTGAAGGTTAGGAAAACCCAAGACAAGACAGCCATAACAGGGATGGTTTGTCTTTGCTCCACTGTATGCAGGTCTCCATCATCAACTGGCTGTAAAGCAGAGGAGCGTGGCATAGGAGAGACAGTCCATGGTATAGCAGGCAGGAAGCAGCAGTGGTAAACATATGTTCCGCATTTATCCCATCCAGGCCTCGAGCCCCAGGGTGGGGCTCACGATTTCAGTAAATCCATTCAGCCACCTCTAGAACTGTACTAATTCCACTTAGCAGATTACTTCAGAACTGTATATTCTTAATCCCAGTGTCACATCGTTAGTCTACATTACCATACTTTAGATCCGGCCACCTCTGAAAAACCCCACCTATGACTGCATGACGCTTTGGGGGGACATCTAGAAACAAGCCATAACAGGCACTAGTTGCTTTCCTTTTTTTAAAATTAGTATACATTTATTATTTTTTATTAGTATACATTTGTCTTACAATTTTTCACATTCATAATAGGGAATTTGTACCTGGGCATTACATATCTTGATTCTTCTTTTTTTCTCCCATTCTCTTCTGCTGCCTTAAACCATTCTCCCCTCCCCATTTACAAAAACTTTGTTGCCATTTTTCCTTTCTATTCCCTTCTATTCTCTTTTTTTTCCTTTTCCTTTCCTTCCCTTTCCCCTTCCTCATCCCTTGTTCCCCTTCCCATTGAACATACTCTTCCTACTTCTCAAGTATATCCTTCTTTATGGCACAGTAGTACCCTATTGTGTATTAATACCACACTTCCTTTATCCATCTGTTGGTGGACATGTGGGCTGTTTTAAACCCTTAGCTATTATATAATTACTCAAAGTCAATTTTTTTTTATCAGTACCAGGGATCAAACTCACGACCATGTGCTTGCAAGGCAGGCGCTTATGCCGCTAGGCTAAATCCCCAGCCCCCTCCTTAGCTATTAAAAAATGCAATAAATATGGGTATGCATATACCACTGTCATATGAGGCTTTTAACTCTGTCAGGAAGATAATTAGAAGGGAAAACCACTGGGTCTAGTTTTAGAGTTTTGAAGAATCTCCAAGCCGATTTCCATAGTGGTTGTACCAGTTTACTCTCCTATCAGTAATGGAGAAGGGCTTCTTTATCCATGTAGCCATACAGCATTTGTTATTCATTGATTCCTTGATAATAGCAATTCTTTCTGGAGTGATACAGAATCTCAGTGTTGTTTAAATTTGCATTTCTCAAATGACCAGTTTATGCTGAACATTTTTAAATATATTTATTTGCTGTTTGTATTCCTTCATCTGAGAAATCTCTGTTCATCCTAGAGCCCCATCTTTGGATTGGGTCTTTAGATTTAGGGACTCTGGGGGCTGGGGATTTAGCTCAGCAGCATAAGCGCCCGCTTTGCAAGCAGGCAGTCATGAGTTCGATCCCTGGTACCGATAAAAAGGAAAAAGACAAAAAAAAAAAAAAAAAAAGATTTAGGGACTCTGATTTTTTTTTTTTTGAGTTCTTTATATATTCTAGATGTTAGTCCTTTCTCTGAGGAGTGATCAGTAAAATATTTTTTCCCAAGATGGGTGTGGTGATACACTCCTGTAATGCCAGCACTAGGGAGACTGAAGCAGGAAGATCATTGCAAGTTTGAGACCAGCCTGGACTACATAGTGAGCTCAAGGACAGCCTGACCTGCATAGCAAGACCCTGTCTTAAAAAGACAAAATAATAAAAATACTGATTTTTTTCTGATCAAGGTGGCACACACCTATAGTCCTAGCACTCAGGAGGCTGAGCCAGGGAAATGCCTGTTACACTGAAGTCAACCTGTGCTACATAGTGCATTTAAGACCAATCTAAACTGCACAAAAATCCTCAGTCTCGAAAAAAAATTTTTCCTCATCCTGTGGGTTGTCTCTATACTCTGTTAATGGTTTCTTATGATGTACAAAAGCCTTTTAATTTAATGTGATTCTGGTTATTGATTCTTTGTAATATTTTCTGTGCAATCAGGGTTTGTTTATTAACTCTGTGCCTATACCTATGTCTTCCAGAGTCTTAAGTGTTCTGTCTTCCAGAAGATTTAGTATTTCTGGGGCTGGGGATTTAGCTCAGCGGCATAAGCGCCTGCCTTGTAAGCGTGCAGTCGTGAGTTCAATCTCTGGTACCGATAAAAAAAAAAAAAAGATTTAGTATTTCTATGTTATGTTATGTTATGTTATGTTATTTTTGGTACCAAGAATCAAACACATGACTTCATGCTTGCCCAGACAGGCATCATGTCACTGAGCTACATCTCTAGCACTAGTGTTTCTATTTTAATATATAGATATTTTATCCATTCCAATTTTAGTTTAGTGCATGTTGAGAGATATGGGTCCAGGTTCAATTTTTGGCATGCAGAAATTCAGTTTTCCCAGTACCATTCATTAAAGAGGTTTTCTTCTAGTGAATGTATTTGGCCTCTCTGTCAAAGATAGGACAGCTGAGTGTGCTTGGAGTTGTTTCTGTATTTTCTATTCTTCCATTGATCCTCAAGTCTAGTGGCTTTTTTTATGGAATTTTTTTGTTGCTGTTGTTGCTGTTTTTGTTTTTGCCAGTGCCATGCTGTTTTTATCACAGTAGCTTTGTAATATAACTTAGAATTGGAGATAGCGATGCCCCTTGCCTTGCCCATGTTACCCAGAATTGTTTCTGTTATTCTAGGACTCTTCTGATTCCATATGAATTTTTAGACTTTTTTTTAACCAAGAATCAAACTTAAAACCTTGTGCTTGCCAAGCAGGTGCTGTGCCATTGAGCTATATCCCTGGCCCTGGATTGTTTTATCTGGTTCTATGATGTACGCTATTGTTACTTTGATTGGGATTTCATTAAATTTGTCAAACAGTTTTGGAAGTATGACAATTTTACTTTATTGGCTCTGCCTATCTAAGAACAGGGGATGTTATACCATTTTCTGATATCTTCTTTATTCCAGAGTACTATAGTTTTCAACTTATAAGTCATTAACTTCCTTTATTAGATTCTTAAGTGCTTCATTTTTTTTTATTCTATCATGAAAGGTGTTGTTTCTCTAATTTCCTTCTCAGTGAGTTTGTTATTCATGTATGCTATTGATCTTGGAGAGTTGACTTTGTATCCTGCTATACTGCTGAATTTGGTTATTAATTCTAGGAGTCTTTTAGTGGAGTTTTTAGGGTCTTCTATGTAGACTATCATGTAATCAGCAAGTAATGATAATTTAACTTCTTTCTTTCCTAACCTTATTCTTTTTTTTTTTTCTTGTCTAATTGCTCTGGCTAATGTTTCTAGAAATATATTGAACAGGAGTGGTTAACCTTTGTAGTAGCCACCCTTGTCTTATTCCTGATTTTAGAGTGAAAGCTTTCTATTCTTGAGCATTTAGTATGATGTTGGCAGTTGGCTTTCATAGATAGCTTATACCAGATTGAGATAAAGAACTTCTATTCCAATTTCCTGTAGGGTTTTATCATCAGTGTGTTTTAGAATTGTCAACTGCATTTTACATGTCTACTGAGATGATCATGTGATTTTTGTCCTTGGCTCTGTTAATGTGGTGCATTACATTTATTGATTTGCTTATGTTGAACCATCCCTGAATCTCTGAGATAAATGCTAGTTGGTCAAGTTATATAATCTTTTTGACAACTTGCTGCATTCTGTTTGCCAGTATCTTATTGAACATTTTTGTATCTATGTTCACTAAGGCAGTTGGTATGTAGTTCTCTTTTCTTGGTTGGCTGCTTCTCTGGTTTTTGTATCAGGCTACTGCTTGCTTCC